AGCCATTGTTCATATAATTTGTCTTTTTGTGATCTTCCTTCAGGATCCCTTTTAYTCAGCATTACCTCCAAAGAAGAGACATCTGTGAGCTTTACCTGAGGTCACTGATGTGAATCCCAATAAAACTGACAACCATTTCTTTCTTTTCAATCAACCCCTCTTTCTTYACTCCCTGCAGTCACTGTGCAACTTTTAATGTTAAATCTCAATTTATTTTTCTTTTTTAATCTATTCYGTATCTTACTCCATCTCTCTATTGCTTTCTCTCAGGACTTGTACTAAATTCACAGGGCAAAAGGAGTATCTTGCAGAGAAGTGTCCTCTCTCTGTTTAACCATCCTGCTGACAAGGAATTTCCCCATGCCCATTCATCACCTGCCATAGAGAAAAGCATGCAAATGAGAGCAACAGCAATGTGCTGCTGCCTTCCCAAAGGACACTAGACCATTAGAGTGAACAAGTGTGGTTCTTGGGTCCTCAAAGTACCATAAACATCCCCTTTATTTGCACTTTCCTTCTGAAATAAGCCCATGACCAAAATCATCAGTTCAGCATCACCCAACAGCAGCTGCCTGCTTCATAAACAACTGTGAATAGAGCATCCTACCCTTTCTTTTCCTGTTCCCAGACACCAGCAGCGAAGGGAAAGAGGAGGTAGGAGGACACTGTCAGATGCGCTCCTGCCAGCCAAGAACTTGATTAGCATCCTTAATCAAGAAGTGCCAAAAGGTACCAAAACACAGAGTATAAAACCAAGCTCTTAATTAAAAAAAAAAAAAAAAACCAAAAAAAAAAACCTATCCCAAACTGTGGTTTGGGCTGTAAAGGAATCACCTCTGTCCCAAGAGTCATGGGGCATTGTAACCTGTATATTCTCCAATTTCAGGTCCAAGATCTGTCAACACCTTTTTTCATTTACATTTCTAGTTTTTTACATTTCATACCACTCTTGGGTTTACTACCTCAGTRAGACCTGTTCATTCGTGAGCTGAGAATGCATTAGTGCTTTGTGAATCACAGGTAACACAGAGATGTTACACACTAGGTGTACAAGGAGGAAAACAGCTTTAGCAGAACAAAACAAAAAAAAAAGCTAGCAAGGAGCTGGCTAGCTGTAAGTACAGACATTTATCAGTTATTAGTCATTAGTCGAAACTGATAATGCTGGGAAGTCAAGCATGGTGCATCTCGTCATTGTTTTCAGTGACGATAAAGTGCCGCCTGCTGCCAAACAGCACCTCRAAATGGAGAAGGATTCCTTAACTTGCTTCAGATGAGCAACTGGGTGCTTGCCAATTTTTTACATGAACAGTCATAAGCATGTTCCTGCACAGCAGGATGTGGTCAAACTATTCAAAGCTGTAAAACCAGGTTTGCTTGCCAGTTATGTTATTGCTTCAAGATCAGTGTACTAGAGATGATACTTTGCCAGACGTGAAACCACTGCTACTCCTTCACAACAAATTATGCATCTTTAATATTTAAAACTCTGTATAGAACTGACTGTTACCAATTTAAAAACTCCCACATTTACAGAATTAGTTAGGACTGGAAACATATCAAACATACAATCTCCTAATCTCTTAATGAGCTTTAAAAAATCACTTCCTTCAAGCTGCACCCATTAAAAGGTCCCCTTTCTTGTCTAAACCAGAAKAAAAGTAATTGTAATGACTTACTCAAGTCTTCAGCTGCCAACCCTGTAATGATAYCAACATTCCTGTCCATAAGGTGTGATGCGGCTAATAGGCGGGTGAGACATTGTACTGTATTGCCTCCTGCTGGAAACCACTTCCTTAGCGTATTTTATGAAGATCACACAATGTGACTATGCCATATGGAATCTCAACTAAATGTCTGTCACTAATTGGATTACTTAAGCAAGAAAGATTTCTGAAGAAAGGTAAAACTGTGTTATGATCAACTGGACAAATACGTTTTTTCCTTGAATGGGTTAAGACAAAGCTGAATGATAAGTAAGATAAGAAAATRATGTTTTATTTCTTTCAGAGGATCAGTCATAAAACACACCAAAGATCCTTCGTATCACAMAATATCTGTTCACTAACAAACATATCTTAGTAAATACAACCAAACTGTTGAGTTTGTTTTTTTAAGGGGGTTGATACAGGAGAAGATGAATGTCAATGTTTAGCCATGCTTTAGTTGTTTGTTTATTATTCACTTGAAAATACATACTAAAAGTAGTATCAAATATTTGAGTTTATACCATTTCATTTGTTTTCACACATACAAAAAGTAGTTTGCATATTTGCTYAGCAATCTAGTGAAAGATCTAAGATTACATACACTTGCACAGCTCAATACAGTGATAGAAGTGCCTCAATCTGCTTCCTAGTAGGAAGCAGTGCTCACACTGGAAATCTGAAAAAATACACAGAAGTTCTTCGGTGTTACAGCTAGAAAAAACATTTTMATGGCTTTTCCAAGACATGGACAGTGCTCTTCATTTTTTGAGGAATAAAAAAATTATTCAAGTAAAATACAAATAGAAAAATCCCAACTAACTAATCATTGAGTATGCTGCAAATGCAGTCCAGTTAAATGCACCTCACTCAGTAGAACAGTTACCAGGAAAAATATTATAAAACTGAATTTAAAAGACTAGTTGGAAGTAATCTGTATTTACCTGGTCATAGGAAATGCACAATCCATAGARTGTCCATTCTCTAGAAATGTAACTGATTCCTCACTTGAAATCAAAGCAATGTGTTTGAGCTGCAGAGGCTTTCGCATTATTGTTTCTTACTCAGAGAAATCAGAAATCCTGTAAGTTAACTCCCAAAAGTTAGATATTACTTATGTTCGCTGTGCTCAATTGTCAAAAGCCAGGCTTTTGTGAAGACAACCGCAGTGAAAAGTAACAGATGAAGCTTCACTAAATAAAGTTAGTCCAAACACTTGTATTGTGCAGCCAGTTCTCTATCACATGGAACCAGTTATGGTGGTCTCTCCAATGGCATTGCTGTCTCCAGCACACAACAGCAACCAGGAACAGAGCAGCACAGTGTGTCATGAAACATTTAACTTCCACTGCCACTGACCTTTCAACTTTAAAAATGCATTTTCCAGAGGATAGCCACAGCTTGCTAATGGTTTACTCTGTTTCTGCTTCTTAACTTCCTCTCAGTTCCCCCCTTCATATTTGATGCCACTTCCACCAAAAAGAAAAAATTCTAACTTGCAGATATTATGAATGCTTGAGGCAACCCCAGATCTAACTTGCAATAATTTGCATTTGCTATGCTAAGCATATACATCCCCTGAATTATATCTAGTCCCTTTGTGGTCTAATGTAGAATCCCTCTCCTATTGTTCTTGCTGTTAGCACTGTAATAACTACTGCTATTGCAATGTTAACAAAAGACTACTAATAATTCAAGTATGGTACGAATTCCCAAGGAATCATCAAGTGAGAAACAGAGGTTGAAAAGGTAGCTTCAGTTCCAAGGGCCTATTTCCTAGATCCAACACTAACAGCCGTAAAAGCATCACATATTTGAAAACACACGATGACTGGTTTTATGAATTAATTTAAAACAATGATGCTATAAATTGCTAATAGTATCACAGCACTACAGCTTAACACCAAATATTTAAATTTCCATTTACTGAGGATTTATTATTCTATCAATTWATTTTTTCAGCTGCAGTATCTACTTAACAGTACCTGTGTTTTTCTGCTGACACATCTAAAGATGGCTTTGCTAGTGGTGACACCTGAGCTATTAGTATTTAGAATAATTATCTTAATTAATTTTCAAGCTGGTTACTTGGAAAAGATTACTCCTTAAACAGGCAGCTTAAAATCAATTAAATTAAAACGTGTATTAAAATGTCTGACAATTATATTCTTCTGACATTCATAGAAGTTTAAGGGTCCAAGCATGCCTGAAAGAATGAAAAAGCATGAAAATTACAGTGTGTGTAGAGGAGGCACTTTTAACAAAAGACTTCTCAACAGAATATAAATTCAATTAACATTATTGATATCATTAAAGATCACAAATCCGACTTTAAATCTAGTAGAAATTAGTTAGATGTGGGCCAATTTTGGTTACTTACATTAAAAATCAAAGTTTTCTATATTGGAAGAGTCRGATGAAATTTCTTGCCTGGCATAAATACACATAAGGACCTTCATCCAGTCTAACATCTCAGGAGATACTGAGGACTGTTCCTTCCTATAACTTATTCCTATTGAGTTAAATCTAGGCTAAAGTTCAGTAAAAAAATGGTGGGTTAAAACACCCAAACTCAAACCAATAAAATAAAACAAAAACTCTTCCATGAGGCGAGAAAAACAAGGAGACTCTTAATGGTGAAGAGAATGAAGACAATTGCTGTTCTGTCAAAATAGGAAATTGCAGGGAATGAGTGCTCTGAGCAGAAAAAAAGAACCTGATTCTTTCAAGTCACGTAGTAGATGGGTAAGACTTTGAGAGTCAAGGACCACATGCTGATTTTTATCTCCTGAATGTAAAGCAACAAAAGGAGGARTTGCTTGCATTGTTGCATGTGGTACTGTTACCTTCCTTTAATGTATATTTTTGACCCTTATAACCCTTTATAAATCCTTCAATCCCTGTTAACTGTCATCCAATGCATTTTACCAGTACAGCATACTGCAGATWTAAGCCCTTAATAGCTTTTTAGATTGGTCAACTCACTGAAAACTATTTTGTTTTAGAAAGAAGACAGTAATGAAGCACAAAAACCACAAACATAACTTTTCTCATGAAACACAGTGATGCCATTTTAATGGGCACCACTACCATGAAGAAAAAGCTGATCAGTAATCAGACATTTACCACAAGGGCTCTCCTTTGAGATTTTCAACAGACAAAAGTAAACAAAAGCCTTCTCTTCCCCAAATGTAAAACAAAAAAMCAAAAACAAACAAACAAACAAACAAACAGAAAATCCCAAAGCAAAACAAAAATTTGATATTGAGTTATTATATACTTGTAGAGACTTACTTGAGATAAAGCAGCATCCCGTTGCTCTATTACTGCATTCATTTCCTCAGCAATTATTTTCTTTTTACGTTCTTTGGTTCTGTGTATTCGGTTCAGAATTATAGCTCCATTCTTCAGTATATCTATCCCTGTGTCTGCATTGTTTATTCTGTTCAGTAATTCCTGTAATGTCTACCAACAGCATTATATGTTAGTCAGACATGAAGTTTTAATATATTTTATTTAATATAGGGTTTTAATTAATAGGCACATGTGAATTGTAAATTGACTGAGTGAAGTTATTGAATTTTCATATTGCAGCAAAGATGTACATTATTAGTGTGTCAATTCTTCTTTTTCCCACATCTTAGTTCTTGAAACCCACTCAATTGAACTTAAGCCTCTAAGATATAAGACTGACATCAAGAAATCTCCTCAGAGAATGGCTTACCATGTCATTTTCTTCAGGGTTAATATTTTCTAGCCTAGAAAAAAGGGACACAGAAAGCCTGATCAGTAGCATTTCCTTAGTGCAGCAAAATGAGTTCGCTTTTTAAATCTTTAGAACCTCAAGTAATTTCATTCTACTAGTCTTTAGAGTCAACCATGACACTGAACATATTAAAGTGCCACCTGCTCGACTCCATCTTTCAATAATGCTCCATATCTTCAGCACTGACTTCAGACTGTTAAGTTATTAATGTTTACTGCTATATATGACTACAAGGATCAATTGTTCATATGTGCTTAGATGAAAAAAGTTCCCCAGTGATAGAAATGACTGATGCTTTTATTTTATTTATTTCTAGGCTTACAACTTTTACCTGATGTATTTTTTTTTGTTTTTACTGCACCCCAAAATGAAACAGAACATGAATTTTTTGATAGGGTTTTTTCATTTTTAAGGAGTTGTTTTTCCACCTCTTTCTTCCAAAATGAGGGAAAAAATCCCAAACCGATGTTACTTTAAAAATATGTTGATTTTATATCTTGCATAAAATAGGAAGCAAAGCCAATTCTCTGCAAGGCCCTTATTTAATTCTGGAACAAACCTGCCTGCACTTTCCTCCCTTTCTATTTCAACAGAACATATATTGACCTGTCAAATACAAAGATGATACGAGGAATTTAGTCATACAGCAGTGAACACTGGCTGTGCAAAAGCAGTAAGTGATAGCACAAAAATCTAATAAATGGGATAGTACACATACCTAAGGTTAGTTAAATGGACACAGATTTCTTTTTCTGGAAAAATGAGCATATTAAAGTTACCTTGCCACTCAATTGCTACTCACTTAATGGTGACTTCTACTAAATGTAGCCTATGATATTCTAAGACAGAGGTAGCACCATTAAACATCCTCTAAACAGCAACACTTTTTCAGCAGTGCTGTGACAGGTGCTGCTCTGAAGCCATGATTTTAGCTAGCAAACATAACAGAACACTTGACAGCACACTACCACCTTTTCCATTAATTTTAGCAGGTAACAGTACATARGGCACAGTAAATCAACCAGTACAGACATTAATATTTTAAATTAAAAAATATTTCACAACGTACTCTCAGTGTATAACAGGTGGTATATTTTTATGGCATTCACAAGCAGCAACTACTCCAAAATATTCAGTCAGAAACATAACTAAGCAAAACAAAGTAAAAGCTAACCTTTGCTAGATTTGACTTGTATTCATAAAGTAAAACAAATAACAAAATAACAAATATAATAATATTAATTATTAGATTATTGTAACAAATTCTCAGAGCTGGATCCTCGTAGAGTTCCTGCTTTAGTTTTTACATTGTTCTAAGTGCCACTTCATGTGGGACTTAAAAATGGATCTCCAGCTAGTTTGTATTCACAATGAAAAGAATGGTATTTGTCAAAGTAAATTGGCAGGACTGACCCAGCTTCTCCAGAGGACTTCCACCCTGCTAAAAGTGTGGGTCAACAAAATCACCCAGCCAACCAACAGGCTGGGTAAGCAAGACACCTTAGGGAGAAAAGGGAGTGGGAAAAAGAACATGAACTTCTGTCATAAGCATACCTTCAGCATATCACTGCCACAAGGGATCTGTCTGTAGGTATATGAACACCTCCTTAGGTGACAGTATTTTTAAAAACATAGCACCCAGAACTGTGAATTTGTCCTGCTAAGTSTCCCTGTGCTGTGCATAGACAATGAGTGAAAACCTCAAGATTTTAAACAGCAGTAACCAAGGATTCCTCCTCCCTCCATTTCTAAACACATTCTGATAACATAACCCCTAGGGCCAACAGGGCTGAAAGAATTTTGGTTGTTACAGTTAAATAATGACAATAGAACTGCTCCAGCTGCTAATTTAAAGAAAGCATTAAAGCATTTGATAAAGGTTGGCAGGCTGTTCAATATYGCCCTCTTGTAAAGTTCTCTGATTGGAATAAGTCCAAAGCAGATGGAAAGAGTGACCTGTGCTCTAAAACTTGATGAGTGTGGCACGAGTAGCCAATGTTCTTCATAAAAACCCCAAACCTCTCTGTGCTCCACATCTGAGACAGAGAACCTGACCTTCTGAGCATCCACCATAAGGAAGGAAGAAAATAACAAGAGCGGTAGTTAGAAAAGAAAGTGCTCTCCAGAGGGAAATCTCCTGGGCCAGTTCTGAGACTGTGAATGGCACCAGAGTATCAGACCTCTCTATACAGCATCGGGAAGAACACCCAAGTGGATGACAGCCAGTACAATTGCTGTTCTCTAAATGGTAGCAGTAAAGTGTAATAGCTCGGCTCCCAACTATCAGTCAAGGGAGTTACTGACTCTCCTGGGAACAAGTACTACTTTGGCACTACAAGTGTATCCAGTGCCTTCTGCAATGGCATGTTTTTGAGGAAGGTACTATGCATGTTCTCTGAGAAATGCAGTTTCTTCTMTTTTCTCATACTTCTGCATAGAACTAAGTCAGTTTTCAGTATATGAATGAAGCAGACAGAAGGAATTGAAGGGAAAATAAGTGAAGGTGTTCTGAGGAATTAATGCGTGCCAAGAACTGCCACCCATGTTCCTATGGATTCCACTGCAGAAAATGCAGCAATATGCCGAAATCCAGAAGTCATTGACTAATTTGTTGACCAGAATAATTAATTTTCTGCAGTACTTTTACTTAAGATCAAAAATCTTGACTTTATGCTAACTTTTTATAAACAGGATCATGTGATGTTTGGAGCCATACAAAACTTTTTTACTCTTGGAACATACAAGACTAGAAGACTGGAGGAAGAAAGAGAGACTCAAGTAAGGCTCACAACTATGATGCCTCTTATGGGAATTTAAAGATCATCTGTAATGTCCCCAGAGATTGCTGTTTAAGGCAAGATTTCAGATGCATATACAATATAATGGGCTCTGTGGAGATATTTAGCAAATTATGCATTAATTCTTGTGGGTATGCAATCTCCCAATCTTGCTGCTGAGTTGTGACCAACTTGTGACCAACAGTGGGGCTGTGACAAACTCTCACAATTTGTAAATTCTACAGAGTAATGGTGGACAAACTATGTGAWGATTATTGAAATTAATTGAGATAATATTCTCTGGCCCTAACTATATCTAAAAGAAGGGTTTTCTGCCCTAAAGAGGAGTGTTCTTATTGGAATCAATTATTTAAAACATACTTGCCTGCCATTTAGCTAACTAACAACTACACCTATTCAGTCTCCTGCCACGAAAAGCTTGTTTGCTTTGTATTTCTTCTGGCAGAAAAGTAAGAGAAATTTATCAGCCACTCTAGTCTTTGTGGGAGTACCCTTTAGGGGACTTACAGAGATGATAACCAAGATCATAACTCAGATGGACAAGGATTGTATGGGGAGGCAAACTGTAGCCTCAAAGCTGCCTGTATCCCAAAGGGAGAAAGAAACCACTCTCGACCTTTTTCTCCTTAGTTCTGTTTAACATAAGTTTGCCTATTTCTGTTGTGTTAAGATGGCATAACATAAAAATCTACGAACTAATAATTGTACCCCTATTACCTTACAAACTGCTCCTACACTAAAGATAAGAAAAAAAATCCCCATAAATTTTTACTGCGTCACCCATATCATTAGTAGAAATTTTGCTGAAGGAAATGTCTGGTGGGCTTAAAGGCTTGATTGATTTCCTATATGTTGCAACTTTTGACTGGCATTCTGGTACTCTGTGTCAAAAGATCCCTGTAAAATGTCACATTCATCTTATTTCTCCCTCAATAAATCAATACCAAAGCTTTTGATTATATTTTTAATTGTTGTGATCAAAATTATTCTCCTCTCAGTCTCCAGAGAAAAATATGGTTTTACAGGATAGCTAACCAATTAACCAATAACACAGTAGAGCTAGCCCTAATCTATTTTATCATACAGAAGTTTGTACTAAGTTTTCCTATAACCATTGTTAAGCAGTTTATGACTGTCACAGACTGACACAAGAGCCTTTTCACATGGGGCAGGAAATGTACACTCACTCTTTGAGAGACTCTTCTAAACGCTGGACTCGCAGAAATGCTTCATCTCTCTCTTCATTGGCTAACCTGAGCCTTGCCATGACAGCTTCATCACGTTCCCGTTGTGCAGAATAAACTTCTTCCACCAGAGCTGCAAAAGTGTGTTCAACAAACAGGTTTGGCAGAAACAGCGCTGTTAGATGCACTTACAYTGGCCTTTTGTCACCACCTCCTAAAATCAACACTTCTCCAGTGACCTTGGATTATTCTGCATAAGGCCTGTATTACATCTTAGACACAACATTAAATTGCTGCTAATTGACATAATCTAAACTTTAAGGTGTTAAATAAAACTGTGTGTTTTCAAATTCACCCCTATAAAATCTTAACAGGATAAGAAAGTGATTTGCAGGGCATTCTGAATATTTCCTTAATGGAAAAGCAATTTTTAAAGCTCAGAAGCATATGAGACACTAGCAAGTTTCTTGTAGGACACAGTTAAAAGTTAATACATTAAAACTACTACCATCAGACTGCTTCGTATCAGGGTGGCATGGTGATATTAAAAATTCTAATATTTTTATAGTCTGTCTGGTATCACAAGAGTGGCACAGCTGGCATCTTTCCTCCTCTGCCAAGCCTTTACTTTATTGTGTAATATACTGTTATATTATCTGTTACAGCATACATGGACCTTGGAGCATTAGGTACCAATAAACTAAGATTTACTGTCTATCCTTTGGAGCAAACTAACACCTTCAAGYCATTCCTCATCCTGAGCTTACATTTTCTCCCTGCCTCTCCCTTGTCAATATGTCTAACACCATCTCTGGCACACTGCCAGAATCCTTACCTCGACCCTGCCTCCACTAAAATCTTTATTCATACTTTCATCATTTCCCTCTGCAATACTGCAAATCTCTCCTCACAGTCATTATAAAACCATGCATTCAAAATGTCTGGGGACTTTCAGGATGCTGTAAGACTGCTGTCRCTCCAAGGCAGAGGACTATATCCTCTCTCACTGGCTCCTCAAAAAACTCARTTGAGGTCTATAGGCTCCCGAATTCTCCATCCTCCTTGTCCTTTCCCATCTTTCAAACCGGGGTTTGGCCAAAGTCTCTTAATGTCACACTACAGTGTTTTYCAAATTCTGGTATTTATTTTTCAAGAACTTTCTGTATTAAGCCATTGCTGCCGGGCTTCCTTACTCTCTTCAGAACTCTGCTCCTCTCTGTACCACTGTTTATGCCACTAGGATCTCAAAGAAAGGGTTCCTCCCTCTTTACTTCCTCCCTTTCGCTAAAAGACTACAGCTTTTGTCTCCATTCTTACCTAAAYTGACATTAACTTTTTTGCCTTTATTTGTTATTTTACTCTTACAACACCTCTGCATATTATTGCACAAAAACTTCGTAGTGGAAAATAATGAAACATATTGTTCTTCACAGAATGAAATAGGAACACAATAGCAAATTTTGATAGCAGCTACATTGCTGGCAAAAAATACACTTTATCAGTGCCAAAAAAAAGGGAAACCTCTTGTCCTCAAGCTGAGGGGAAAACTATGACTGAGGTGTATGGAAGCTTTTTCTGCAGGGCTAGCAAARGGTTGAAGGCTAACAGCAGATCACACTAAATCAGAGAGGGAAAGTCTAAATGCTACTTCTGAAAGTGCAGTCCCTCCCCTCACAAAAAGTCTGCAGAGGAGTTACAAGCCTAGTCAGCAGGCCAAGATGTAACAAGTCATGTCCCAACAACAACAACAAAAGAAATTCAGCATCAGAATCATAAGATTTTGAAATGCATGCAAAAATTAACAAACACCGATTAAATTCTCTTTTATCCACAAGAATAGTCTGCATAGATCTACTTTTCTTTGAAGATCTATTTCCCGATTGCAGCAAGAAAGCTTTGCTTGATGTGGAATGGAAAAACTAAGACAGGAGTAAGGCAGCTGCTAACACTGCATTTGCCCTGGCTGGTATCCAGCAAGAAGTTTGCAGCACCTGCAGAGAATGCATCTGATATCTGCAAAGGTAGATGGCTCAGCGAGAACAAGAAAAACCCATATGAAGCAACCTAGACTGTGCATTTCAGCTCACCAGACTTGCACTCTGATTGCTGAGACTGTGATGGCAGGAAACCAGTGCCTGAGCACTGACTCCTTGGGTAAACTACAGAACAACTGCTAGATCCTGACTGGATCTGGAATTCACAAGCAGTTTGATTCTGTATGGAAATTATTATCTATCAGTACCTTAACAGATTTGTTTACTGTAGTTTTCTCAGTAAAATAGGTCAGTTTATTTAGTACCATGGCAGAAATACTTCAGAGAGAACTCTTTCCATAAGGCTGCAAGTTGAAACATTATGCAATTTTCATAATCAAAACAACTGCTGGAATGAATAGAAAGTTATCTGAAATAACTCGGTATTTGGCATTTATTACTATTCTAAGGTTAATTATTTTCCAGTTTAGTTAACTTCTTTCTGGCCTCTTCAAGTGCACCCTGCTGTCAGACCTTAGTCTACCTTCACCTCAGCACAAAAACCCACAATCTGTTGATTCCTGAAATGGATCCTGAATGTACATGTATACATAGTGTGACTGTCTTTTGCCATATCTAATTCCCTCTCTATGTAAGTATAACCAGTAGTAATAATGACTATACAGGCTTTTAAAAAACAGATCATTGCTTATTTGCCACTAGACCAAAGTAATATACATATAACAGCATGAAAGCATTCAGGAAGAGATATTTTCCAAGTTACTTAAGCATCCTGCTTACCTAAAACCWTACCACTCCCAACAGCAGCTCAGAAGCTCATTGCCTTGAATAGCGAGCCCTTCCCCCACCCAAAAGTCAATTACAAAACACCGTCTTTTAACTATCAGCTATGAAAAAGTGATTTAACTTGAGCAACTATTTCTTCTTGTTTTCTTATCCTTTCACTAAATTAAAGCATTGGAGTAAATATCTAAATTACCAGATCCACCAACTGCATTACAAAAAATATTATAATCATTCTATATCACTTACAAGTGTCTAGCCTTTGGTTCTGTTTCTTAAAAATGATATTTCATGTCAATTGTTTAATATTAAAACAGATTAGAGAAAATGTAAAAAATCATGTAAGATGCTTGAAAAGTTATTTAGGTTAAAAAAAAGAAGAAAGCTACATGGCATTTTAATACAATGCAGCAATACTGACACAGTCTCAAAGAAATTACTTATTTAGTAATTAATAATATATATTACTTATATATATAATATATAGGTAATAATATATACTACTTATATATTTGAAAAATACTTAAAGACCTCATCTGACTAATTTTAATGATCCACAGAAGACTAACTCACCTGGTTTCTTTACCAGCCAAAGCTGAATTTAGGTTTGATATTACTGTCACCCAATGCCTATAAATTTCCAATTCTTATTTAATATTTTATAAATTCCTTTCTTCCTACTATAGGAATATTATGACAATTACACACACAGTTGTAGGTAGTCTGAACATTCACCATTCACACTGAGCTATGGATGAGCCAGAAGCAGAAGTTCAGGACCATAAGTATCACAGCATTCTTGAGAAAAGTGAAATGCATACTCATTTGTGTCTCCATGCAGCAGCAAACCAAAACATTTTGTGTCATACCTAGGAAAACACGTGATGTATAAACTGTCCAGTTAGCCTATGAAAGAGTTACATTAAATTCCTTCAAATCAGAAAGAGTAAAAAATATCCAGATTATCATCCCAGTGTTCCTTAAAAATGCAAGGTGAAAACTGACTGAGAGTAACACCAAGTCATGGTTCTAAGCTCCATTCAAGACGTAACATATCCAGCAAAACACTAACTCCATACTGCCACACTGACTTGATGCCTGATCCTTTCGGAACGGAAAACCAGATCCAGCTACTTTGTCACCAGCTGCTCTGGTTGACATTGCAAGGTTTTCCTTGGAGACCTTCCAGTGGCATGGCAACCAATCCCATCCTTTCTGTCTTGAAGCCTGACCAAGAAGAAACACAAATTCTTACAGAACTCATATTTCAAGGAAGAAAATGACACATAAAACCAAAGCATGAATAGTCTAGTATTACGCTAAAATGCATTGTGTCATTTACTAATTCATAACTATATATAATGCCATTCAAGAGTTAAAATACTTAAATCCCAGAAAACAAGATTAAGAAAAAAGGATTATTTTCCTATGCTTGCAAATATTGTAGTATATTAAAGTACAGCACTACTATTTAGTTGTATAAACTTTATTTGTTTTGGAATAATTTAATAACATCTTTCTCCTTGTAACTAAAACCCCTGCATACCCTAAAAGAGCTCTTTATTTTAAAAGAATCGTTATGCTAAACTCATCAATTCTAAAACATTTTTAGTTTTTAGTAAAGAAAACAATTGTAAACAGAGAGCTTTTGTAAGGTAGATAGCTATTACAAAGTTCACTTCGAAAATCAATATAGCATTTTAGCTGGAATTTGCTCATTAAACACCCACAGCTCTAATGCAAATTATGATGGAATGAATAAAGCAAATACATATGCTTCTTTCTTTTTATTAAATGTAAAATCTACTGTTAATTGCATCTGGTATGTCATATAAACTTTTCTCCTTAACTATTAAATGGAAGCTTTTACAAAAGTCATTAGAGATTCTCTTTCTTTGACTTGTATAAATTTCAATATTTGTTCAGTAAAGGTTCACAGCAGTTAAATTACATTAACAAATATTATTAGCTACTATGTAAGCCAACTAAGTAAAATACTTATATTGCAGGTAAAACAAATCAATGGGTGTTTACAATAATATTTGGATATGTCCATTTTTAAACAAGCTTATCAAATATCATGTAATTCTTAGTCAAATGAGAGAGACTCAAAGTAGATTTTTTTATCCCAAATACTCAAATTTGTTTAGTAAGCTAATTGTTTTCTAATATGGGCAAAAGTAAATATGAAGAAGATGAACCATACCAAGTATGAGTTTACTGAGTCAAAGCAGTGTACATATTTTCTTAGTTGAACCTGATTCTTTTGGCAAACTTATCTCCTATACTTTTTACACCACCTTTAAAACATAACGGTAATGAGAAGGTGTGCTGGAAATCATTCGAGTTTAAACAG